GATGGTAGGTCCTGACGAAGAGGAGATTATTGTCTTACATCTAAATTACTTTTGGCAGTTGAACGATGGCTTTTTGTTTGTTTGTCTTGGTTTTAAGGGACTGAATGTCTGTGCACATATATTAAGTCTGGTATGCTGGGATATGGTTTGAAGCTTTTCCTGACTGGCTTGATCAATCATGTTGTCAGCTCTAACCTTCAGTGATTGATTAAAAAGCAGAACTCATAAAAAGTGATTCACTATGAAGAGATTATAATCTGACCATTTTACTGAGGTGATATATTATTCATCATTTGCAATCATTCTTTTTTTCCCTAATATATGCAGCCAGAGATTTCTGTTGTTTTCAAGTTTAAATTAAGAAATAGTAAAACTTATCCAGCATTTACTTTTCATCATTGTTATGATGACAATACCAACCTTAAAGGTGACAAGGCAATTACTTAAAATATAGTGTGACCGAGTGTAAATTATATATGCCACAGCTGCAACGATGTTTTATCAGTTTTCTTGCTAATGGCGTTGCATTTGCAGTGACACCTCGAAACTCAGTAGAAGCTAATACTTGTGCATTAGCAGCCTATTCTTCTAAGTAATGTGGAACTGATAGGTTGAGGAAAGTGTCTTATTAGAACTTTACAAGAGAAATGTGAAAGAAGATAGGGCAGTTATACTCCTTCTTTCAAATACCATGTTTTCTTCAGTAAGAATGTCCATATTATGCTAATATAATGTGTCAGTATCTACAGAAATGTTATCATTCCAAAAGCTCCCATTGGCATCAGTGAAAAAATGTTTAATGAAGGCAGAATGCAGCATTCGAGTTTGTGCCCTCTTTTTTGTTTATTCGTTTTCTTTTGGAGGAGCAAAATTTCTTATCCACTGCTGGTAGAAGTAATGACTAAGATCTCAGTAAATGAAATAACCAGAAATATTGATATTTTTTCTCTAACTTTCTGTTTAATTTTTTTTACTGAGATCCACACACCAGTGAAAGTAATGAGAATACTGCCACTGATTTCAGAAAACTATGTATCAGGAACATTTTTGCATTAGATAACAGTTTGTCATATAATCTGTTTTATTCTTACCCTGGGGAACTCAATTTATTAGTCATTTTCTTCTGCCAGTGTGGGTCTTACAGCCAGTGACAAGAACAATGGCAAATATATAGTAATAAACCCATAAAAATTGGCAGAGGCATGCAGATACAATTAAATTATTCTAGCTTTTTAAAATAAAATCTGATCCAATATCAAGTTGTCAGTTTGTGTAATCAGTTTCTAGTTTTTAAAAATGCACTGCAATCTTAATCTGTAGGTCTGATCCAAATAATAAATGGAAAGATACCCACAGATTTCAGTGAGCTCTGGATCATGTCCTTATTACTCTATATGAAATTCTGGGAACTGTCATCTCCAAAGGATACTATGAATTTCTTTTCTCTATTTTATGAAACTCCTTGCCATTGGAGAAGTTGCCACCTTTCTTCTGATGGATAGTAACAGATTTTTAAGTCAGATATTTCTTTCCAATGCCTATCAAGACTATATGTGTGATGATCTTAACTGAATTTATCACACACAGGAATGAACCGGTATGACTGACAGCAGAATTCAGACTTGAGAGGAACAGGAAGTGATGGTTTCTTCAACAAAATACTCAAAGTGAAATGCAGAGTTACTGTTCTCTTGATTCCTTCTCAGCATTTGTAACTGCTACTCTGATAAATATTTTCCTAATTTATAAGGCTAGCACACCACCAGAAACTAGAGGATGTCAAATGATAAGCCCACAGAAATAAGACTTTGGCTGTACTGTTATATCAACATTCTATTTGAACAGATCAGGAATAACTGATGAATGCCCAGAATTGCTGTGAGAGCTGGTATTTTACAGCCACAGTGAGGTTTAGCATATATTTCTTGTAAGAATGAAAACTAATGTAAATTTCATTTCGAAACTGAAATGTAATTCCCTCTGCAAGATACGTGTGGCTATTCACACATACATGTGTACATATAAATGTATGTATATGTAAGACAGGAGCTGAAATAGTGAGCAAGTGAGGAAGAGTAAGGGTTCTTTCCTCCATTAGGTACAGTCTAGTTTTACTGTTGTATTGCAGTCGGACTAATATTTTTATTTTTTTTAATGGAGTAGATAAGAACTTTCCTGGAGTGCAATAAGACAAAAATGTGATATATGCACATTTTGTTGTATCTGTATGGTCTATCATATTTATATTATAACATATAGATTGTGTATGTATGGTAGACATATATGGCATACAAGTAGTGATTCATGACAAATGGTTGGAAGCCTTCCGTGCTTTCCAGTGAGACATTTATCTGTGAAGACACATGGTCTTCAGCTCACTTCTTCCCCCATTCATTTCCACAGTGATGTGGAGGGAGACAATTCAGCAAAAAAGGCTCAAGAATCTGAGATTAAGGATAGAGAGGGTAATAATCTACCATTTAAAATGACGGGTGAAGAACCAGAGAGACTTGGGGAGAAAAAAAATATATTTAATTCAACACCATCATTTACGAAGTAGGACAGTGAGAGGAATACATCAGTAAATATGACTCGGTCTTACATACACTTCCCCCCACACCTCCTCCATCTTCCCAGCTACCTCCTCTCCCCCCATCAGTGCAAGTGGGGCAGGGAGTGGGGGATGCAGTCCATCTGGCCATTACTCATTGTCCATGGCAGCTCCTCCCTGAGAAAGAGGGCTCCTTGCAGTCTCTCCTTCCTGCTGCGTGGTGTCCACCTCACATGAGGAAATCCTCTTCCTCCCCGTGAGTCCCTCAGGGCCACAGATCGCTTTGGGCATGTCCCCTGATGCTCGACCTCTCTCCCCTCTTGCATGGGGCTCTGGATGTACTGACGTTCTCACCACGGCTGATTCCCTCAGCTGGCAGGCAATCACCTTCCTGCCACCTCAGCCATCATGGGGCTTCAGGGAAAGGTCCTGCTCCAGCAGCCCCCTCCCTTTACTTCTCCTCTGGGACTCTTCTCCCCCTCTTTTCTTCTCAGAGCAACGTCCCTTTGTTCTCCTCTCACCTTCCCCTCCTCCAACAGAAAAAACCCACTCCCTAACATTAAAGATGGAACCGCTCAAAACAAGACAAACCAAAAGAGTCAGATAGAACACTGGGGTCACCTCTGAAATACCTTGATGGCAGAGATGCTGATCGGCCTGGCCCTGGCCAGAGGCAGGGCCGGCCCCCCGCCTGGCCCTGGCCAGAGGCAGGTCCGACTCCTAGCTGGGGGTGAGGGAGGCTCTTGAATCTTCACACTAGTCTACCCCCACTTTTACAAGAAAAAACCCCACCAGACTCAAACCCATGACAGTGTTCCATTTTTTAGAGGTCAAGACCTGCAGCTTCCTTAATTTATACTATTTAAAAACCAGTATGCATGGTGAAAATATAGAATTCACTTAACTGCAGTTTAATTAAAATATATTTCTGAGTTCTTCTGGAGGATGGCAATGTTGGAACATAAGTAAGGATTACCATAAGAAATAACATCCCAGAAAACCATGAGGCAAACAAAATGAAACAGTATACCAGATTTCATATGCTAGTACAAATTGGTTTACAACTATCCTTTTCAGAGAGACCAGCTGCAAAGCATAACAAGGAATGAAAATGTTTCATAATGCACTACCTGAAAAGGCTCATTTAAAAATCTAAGCTATTATTATACAGTGGCAGACTGCTTAATAGCACATAATTCTCAAACCATAAGAGCTTTAATATATTAATGAGGCAAAGTGGTGAGTCCTGTCGCTACTAGGATATGCTGTTTGTGTACTTTATGCAAATTCAGAGAAGCTTTTTAAGCAATTGATCTGGGCATGTGAAAAACTTCCTAACGTTAATAAGACTGTTTGTAAAGAAGTATATCTAATACAGTGGCACTTCCTTTTCATTTTGGGTTTGTTTTTTTTTTTTTTTAAAGTGAGGACGGATATATCTAGTGTATCTGCTGGATAAGTTTACAGGATTTTTATGCTATTTCTGCCCTACTTCACCTCTTAGTATCATTCTCCTGAAGTCTCTTGGGTATGCTTGGCAGTTTGATTATGCATCATGTGTCTTTGAAAATACTATTTACCTCCTCCATTACTGAAATATTTGATGTGGCTTGTGTTATCAGTTGCATCTAAAATGAGTAGTTTTCCCTACTAAAGTCCATAAGAATCAAGTAAAAAATAATAGCATTTTCTCCTTGCCCCTGCTTTGTTTTGGATAAAGAGTTCTTTGTGAAGCGCAGTGCATCTGTTACATTTATGAGAAAACTTAGCTTGCATGCAAGAGATGTTTCCTGAAAAACTTTCTAGGTTTCTACCAGTTTCCACAAAATGTGCTTGATTTCAGCCCTGTTAAATTATGAAGTTACATACCATAAGGCTTTGTTTAGAAAAGCTGAGGTGTTGGCCAAATTGCTTGAAGAAACATAAAAAGATTAGTGATTGAGTTCTGCCTGGCTCCCAGATTCTCACTTCCTGAATCAGTGTAGCTGAGATGTATCTCAGAAATGACACATATTGACTCTGGGGAGGGAGCAGCAATTATTTGCCTTATTATTTTCCATGTCAGACAAGTAATAGAGCAATATTGTGCCAGACAGCAGAAGAAGAAATTTCTAGTTTGTCCATCCTTCTGCTTGAAGGAGTGTTGTATCTACTTCTCAAAGTGTCTATTTGGTAATTAGGACCTTACTGCAAAGAAGAACAAGAATATCTCATTTTTCTGCTAGATTCTACTTTGAAGCAAGACAAAATACCAGGAGGATTAAACGTGCTCAGATTCCATATTAGTGCCCTTCCAGGGAAGTTGCGCATGGACCACCTCTTCCAGAAAAATCATTTTGGTGGTGGTGTGTAGTTTTTCTCCCACAAGGTAGACCAAAGATGTTTAATGTTTATTTAGTCATTCTCAAATGTGTATACATGTTGCCTTTGTTGTTTGTCTGCTTCATAGATCTATTTGCGATTCTTGGACTATGAGATGCAGAATTCCAATGAATGCAAAAGGAATTTTGTGGCTGTCTATGATGGAAGCAGCTCTGTGGAGGATTTGAAAGCGAAGTTTTGCAGCACTGTGGCTAATGATGTGATGCTGCGGACAGGTCTCGGTGTAATCCGCATGTGGGCAGATGAAGGCAGTCGAAGCAGCCGATTCCAGATGCTCTTCACATCTTTCCAAGAACGTAAGACCCGAATCAGTGTGTCCACCTTTCAGTTTGTTAAATGATACAAGTCCCCAAAATTGCTAATGTTTTCCTCATGTAGAGTAGTCACTGAAAGATGTTCCCAAACAAGCTGTGTAAATATTCAGAACAGTTTCTATTCCAAGCATTTGTAGTGTGCAATAATCTGTCACACAGTAGATAATGCACAGGATTTGGAGACAAGAAGACAGATGCGAATAGTCATGACTTGTCCAGTTGTATGACTGTGACTTTTATCTGATCCCCAAGCTGCCAGGCTGCTATATCTCAGTTTTCCTTTACATAACATGGAAGATGATACAGCTCTGAAGGTTTTTGCCAAGCTTGATCCTTTTCCATGAATTTGATTTTTTAGATCTCATTATGATGGGCATTTGAAAAATACCTTACGATTATTTTAGCACAGATGGTGAGTATGTTTGTGCATATTCCAGAATGCATTTATCAATAGGCATATATGTCAGATCTTGTTAAGCAAAGAACTCAGTTCATTTTTTGTAGTAACAGAAGTTTTCTAAAAGCCTCGCATGATATTTTGGTTAATATTCTCTCTATGTGCCTTGACTGCATTCATAAGTTTGTATGATTTATGGACCTAGATAATACGCAAAACAGCTTTTGAAAGAAACAAAAGGTAGTTCTAACCATTTTTAAAAAACAAGCAAACAAAACACAAAAAATCCTCAATCAAACCCAGTGATCCCATTCACTGAATATGATTAACTGAGGAAATCACCTGTGAAAGCTATTGATTTGTTTTCTTTTATGTAAATAATACATATTTGGTCCCTTGAGGAAGGAATATACACATTTATTTTCACATGCTGAATGTGTTTTTTGGTTTGTACATCACATGTCTGACAGGAAGATTTCTGTGTAGCTGACAGTGGTTGCAATGAAGACATGATCCTACCAAACACATTATTCATCTGTATTCTGTGTGTGTGTGTACCCTGCAATGAGGCAACGAGACTCTGTTGAGAACAGCCTCTGTAATTCCTTAATTATGGCCCTGATGAAAAATTTCTGACAGTTTACATGCCTGAAACTGCATATGCCACCGTACTTTCACACTGCAGCCTTAGGTTGGATTATATTTTTCATGTCTGTAAATCAGGCCAGGGTCTAAAAGATATTGAGAACCCTCAGTTGAAATGATACTGCCCTTTTCTCATTTCTGCAACTGGAGATGTCTTGAATATTCAAGATCTGATTCATTTTTTTCACAAGGCATCCTGATCTGTTACCTTAGAAACAACTGCATAGACACTGGAGGTTCACAGCATATAAAGAACTGGAGGGTGAAGCACTATGATGACTAACTTGAAATGTAGGTTTGAATAAGTATGTGTTTGCACAGCTTTCATATCTCAAAGGAAAATAAGGAAAAATGCAGGGTTTTCTTTTACAGTATTGCTAGTATGTTTACCTGACATGCTACATCTTATAAGCTACTCTATTCTTCTAAACAGACGATAGTTTATATTGCATGTTATTCTGACCGGGCAGGTGAAAATATTAACATGAAGTCTTTTCAGTAAATTTATTCTGAACAGTCATTGCGTGCCAGCAGCTGAAAATTTATTGAGGGCTAAATTGTGCTTTAAGATATGTACACACAGCCTGCTCATAAATACTAGGAGCAACAGCATCTGTGTTTTTAATGCTGGAGATTGACTTTAAAGATTTAAAGGTGATACAGATCGTACCTTCTGTGCCATGTCAGTCGTTGCTAAGTGCTGCCCCGTGCCGCAGACTGGTGCTGGCTGTCAGGAGTCAGCTAGAGCAGATGTCCCGTGTGCGCACCGCAAGACACAGCCCATAGCATGTGAACCACGATGCCATTCGGCAGCGTGGGGGAATAATTAGATCATCTGCATGGAAGAAAAGGAATGTCAGGCCTCATTCAGGGAGATGTGCATCAGGGAACAGACACCTGTGTCTCTACTCAGGGACAAAGAAAAGGGAAGAAAGCTATTTTATTAGCCTAGACCTGAGAAAGAAACAAAATAGATGTTGTTTATGTTGTTGCTTTATGCATGGGAAAGAGCGATCACGCGAAATTCCTGTATTTACTGTTGCTGTGGGAATGACCAGGAGGTGTTGTGATCTGTAGTGCCTCAAGTTCCCCTCTTTAGTGTGGAGTTAAATTGTTGAGATTGTGAGTCTTCCCTTCCTCAAGGCTCTGTGAACTGAAAGCAAGTTGGTTTTTTTTGAAACAGTCTACTTAGCCTGAGGAATATTTTCTTTCTGTGTAAGTCTGTTCAGTGTTAATTCTTGTTGTAGAGCCATTTCCCAGGGACTTCACATTTGTGTATAGTGGAGAAATCTTAAAGAGATTTCTTACATGATTTTTTTCGTACTGTTTGATCATCGAAATATACATGTCTTTTTTGTAGGCATCCAAAAGTGGTCTTACAAGTTTCCATACCTCTAGCAGTGATGCTCTGTGAAGCAGCAGTGCTGTAGATATGTCTGAAGGAAAGGTATACAATACAAGAAGTTGTTAATTTTTCTATACCAGTAGATCAGCAATGATTCTCAAAGCATCAAAATAGTAGTAAAGCTCTAAGCAACACTTAATAGCCAATTAATTCCTAATAGTTTATAATTTAGAGTGATGAGCTCATATTTCGTGATCAGCATTTTTGGTTATTCCAACTATCATTATGAGCTGTGTTTGCTTATGTCCTTACCTTTTTAATCTTTAATATATCTTGTAGGCATATGTATCTAATCATATTTTTGTGTATGGTAGTCACTGTCTACTATAGATTTCAAATATCCAATAAATTAATTTAAGAATCAGAAAAAAGAAAACAAAAAACCTGATACCATCAAAAGGTGTCTGTTCATTTGGTAAGAAGACTTGAAAAATGAGTCTTTGTTTTTTCACCCGCTGACTAACTGTTCATTTAATTTTCCATGACTGTGAGAGTGATCTCCAGCCTGATTAATGACAGACATGCTACACCTACAGCTTCTCCAAAGAGCTGACACACCTATGCTTTTATCTAAAAGCAGATTCATAGAACCGGGGCATACGGGACAAGAGAAAATCCCTCTGTATGCACAGCAGGCAGGATGTTCATCCTCTCCCTCTTCTGACTGCTCTGTGGTAGCAGCTTCCTCCTCCATCCCTAACACGGCATCGCAAAACCTAGACCAGCAATATATCATTCCGTCTCTTGGGTTTTTTGCCCTTTGAGCTCTAAGCCTGTTTTTAAAGCCTGTCACGACGTGGCTTTCCTAAAGGAGCAGAAGTTCTATCATCTTATTTTCTTTTTATTAGCAAAACCCATCTTTGGATTGAAATCTAGAGCCATATTTAGAAGAGTAGTGCACAGCTTTATCGAGCAGCAGCACTCAAGCCCTTATTTAGAACCAGAACCCCTGAAGGTGATCACCCCAGCATGGGCAATTCTCTAAATGGAGAAAAAGCACTGCAGGTATGCAGTATTAATGACTGTGTTTATTGTGGTAATACAAAGGGAAATACTGAGAAAGGGAATAACAAAGCAGTAAACAGCAACACATGCAGAGAGATGGTTTGCCTTTGCAAGGACTTAGGACTGTAAATAGATTCCAACTTTGCTGGTTTTGCTGCTTACTTCCACACTAACATACAAAAAAGACAACATTGGAATTGCCTCCTTACTGGTGAAAACTCATCTGTGATTTTCTTCCCCTCTGTGCTATTTGCAGCTATCTCTAGAGAAAACCCCTCACTGGCTAAGCATCCCAGTGACTCTCTCACTCTGAACAAAATAATCTGTTTGTGGTACCTAGAGTGTATGAACTGAACACAAACTGGAGCTCTGAGCACTCGCTCCTGAGCTGCCATTCTTGGATGAGTTCATATATCAAAAAACCCCATCCCATGAATACACATAAAAGTGTTTTTTAAAGACTAGATTATCAATGTGTATCTGGTATTAACGACTCATAAAAATTACATTTATCTCGTTGAACCAAGCAGTCCGAAGGTGGCTGAGAAAGAAAATTCAGTATTAAGTACATTTTATTTTTAAGTTTCTATTAGCTGGATTTTAACAAGATTTTTTTTTCATTAGTGGCAAACGAAAAGACAAGTAATTTTACTTTTGATAATATGCTTGTAGTATACAGCACTAAAACCATCCTAATAATTTTATAATTTTAATGAAGTGAAGTAGTTTCTTAGCATGACTGAATAACTGATGCCTTGAAGAGGCTGAGAGAATTTCTTCCCCTGTTTCAAGGATGATTCAAGGAACATCTGAAGAATTCCTTTTTTCTTTCTCTTGTGAAGGAAAGAAAGCTCTATTCTCCATTAAGGAACAGTGAAAAAATCCAAATGAGCTATACTTAAAGAATTCATGTGCGCGATGTGTGATGCAGTGATCTATCTTGAGTACGTGAGGAGTAGGTGTGAAATGTCTAATGAGTTTAGTGTAAAATATTTCTCACATTTAACTATTGTTAAGCTTTCAGAATTCTCCCATTCACTCTCAGGAGAAAGTAAGACCTCTCAAAAATGTTATGACAAGAAGGGACAGAGGGGAAGAGAGAGAATTCTAAAAATATCAAGTAGGGTAGGGCATTCATCTAAGATTAGGGAGTCCTGAACTGAAATCCCTGTCTTGAAATAGGCTCGAACGGCAAATCCACATGGTTCAGCGAAGTATGACGTAGACACCCAATCTAGCTTGCTCAAAGCTGGTTCACACCCTAGAAGCAAAGGATTTGCACTAACTGCATGGTATGGTGAAACAGCATAAATACACTTGGGAAAGCTACACTGAAGTGGAACAAGTCAGGCTTTACACCAGGTCTCTGAACAAGTCGTCTTCTGGTTTCATCTTGGAAATATGTTTTGACCTGGCCATGTTTGTATTTTATACCCAAAGCATCCTGTAGTGTTCAAAAAATGATGCTCACCACACATGGATTATGTATTTTCTTATTGTCATAACATCATAATAGTGTAACAATAGGTA